TTTGTGGTTATGATGAATTACACTCTAAATATCCAGAATTGATGTTTACCAAGTGATTGACACAAATGTACAGTATTACCAAAGATGACTCGTGTAATGCGAATTACTTACGGAATGCCTGTTTATTAGAGACAGGAAACAAAAGCTGTTCAGATTAGTCTGTCACACTATCATACCCTACAAAACATAAGCAGTTTTGTTTTGCTTATCCTAAAAGTAATTTCCAGCGAGTTCTTTTTATGTGCATTGATCCTGAACAGTGGTTATTTTGTTGTTGCATAAACCACAGGCGACAGTTTGCGTGTAACCTCCGCTCGTCTTGTGTTCCCTGCCTGGTCTGACATCAGGCGTCTACTGAAAGCGAGACTTTGTGCGCTCACCAAAGCACAGCTCTAAGGTCGTTCGTTCCGAGTGCCTTGGTCACACGGGCAGCTCAAAGATTTCTTTTCTCCCAAAACCAACTTTGCAAACCATTTCCCGGTGAGAAACCTTTTAGGACGCTGTAATGCAGCCGTGGTGCGGGGCCTGTTTGAAGTGAAAGGTTTGTCAAGGAAGTTGAGACTATTATTTCCAGTGTCCTATGTGACATTGGTCAATGTCTAAGATTCTTCAGGAAACTAGGAATGTGCCATTTTTTGATGAAGAGAGAGGAGGAACATTCATTTCTGCCTCAAAGGAAAACTTGCGGTGTCAGAGAACTTACTGCTGTGGAATTACCCGTTCTTCTTTAAACGTGTGTGGTTGTGCATTTGTTGGTTTGGGTTGGGTTTTGTCCCAGCTTCCTAAAACAGTAAGTTAGCAGGCTGTCTACATAACGTTCACCTAACGTATATGAACAGGAGCCCCTGGTGCTTAGGACGGGTTTAAAATGTCAGCTAGAAAATCCTTCACTATAGGACCCGCTAGCTGGAATGGGCTGTGACGCATTAATTTAATAACATAGAGGTAGTTCAAGATCAAATTTTTGTTCCTGGACAAAGTGGAATTAAACAGAGCTGGCTCCTGTGAACCTTGCTTTGAGTTCAGGAGGCTTCATTCAGGCCCTGGGACTTTGGCCTCAATAAAGTCTGAACTCGAAACGACTTTTATGCAAAGCAAGACTGAACCCACTGGAATATGACGCCTTACTCAGGATGCCTCTATAGCTGTGAGCATCCATGTTTTGGTCATGATCCTAGATGTTAAAGTTCGTTTTAGTAAAGCTTTACTAGAAGTCAAGAAGTAAGGAGTAACTAAAAAGTCAATTCCGCTGTTATTTAGCGTTTAGCTAAACACTTTCTATACGGGCTTATTTTATGGTCCGGAGTATCATAAGCAGTAGCAAACACTGATTTCTTCCTTTCTTCAAATATTACACTTTAGAATTTTAAGCACTATAATGGCCTAAAACCTTGTGTTGTCTGTTTGCTTGTCTGCGGGTGTGCAGGAGAATTAAAGATTTGAACAGTTAAACTAAAGCTTTAAAATAGCAATGGTACCTTGCTCCCGTGATCGGCATAATCCATATTTTTAAGCTATTTGACACGTGGAATAATCTTGATTCTCCTTACTCTGGGAAGATGATAAAATAGAATCAGTATCAAACTGGTCAGAAAGAGACATTTGCAGAAGGGACTGGAACAATACGGCAAAGTCCCTTGAGTGCTTTGGCTGTTGTATACTACAAAAGCTGGAGCTACTCTTGGATGTCATACAGCTCTGGTGTGACTTACCTGTGCTTTATGCACGGGTGCAGATTTGCTATTACAGTACTAAACACTGATTATCATTCCTCGATAAGAAAAATAAATGACAAGCAAGGGGAAAGGACACCAATGATTTGCTAATCAAGAAAAACAGATGCTCGCTCATTACAGGCATTGACAGTCTCTAGGATACTAATTGGAGTCGCTGACGGTAACAAAAATGGTGTTTGTCTTTGAGGATTTCCTATGCTTTGGGGAAGGATTAAAATACAAGGCATATTAATAGAGATTTGGGGGGGGGGAGGAACCCAAACAAGATACTCATCTGAATATTAACTACACAGATAAAATAAGTCGTTTCGTTGGTATGATGGATACCTCTTAAAAAAGGGAATTTGGATTCACCTTGCATTTGGGTTCATTTTTTTTTTTTTAAATTTAAATCCAGTCAGGCTGTAGATTAAGTATTCTTCATATCAGTGCTCTGTTCAGGTGTTACTCTTGTAAATGTGAGAACTCTATCTCTGTTTTTTAATGTTTTCTAACTTAGGAAAACCCAAATCCATTACATTCTACTCTTAAATATAAATAAAGTAGAAGGAGAACTTACACTAGATTTGTAACTGAGCGCGTCAGTGCTGAACACAGGTGCTTGTCAAGCTAGGGTGAAATCGAGGTGTATTATTTTCTCCAGACCATTTGAAAACCAGTTTGCGTTTTATCACGTTGCCTCTGCTCCCAGCCTGAATGCTCAGGTACCATTTACAGCCGATCAAATCGGGGTTGCCCGTCGCACAGATCCTCAGTGGGGGCTGCGCTGGCACGCTGGGAGCTTAACCCTTTTGCCTGTGCTCCTTCTTTCCCTTGAAATATGGGAACAGCCACCTGGCAACGCAGTGTTTTGGGTATGTTCTATCATCCCTAGATGCTAACTGACGTCTCCAGGACTGAACCGTATACGCTACTTGATGGCTGTAGGATTGATAATGGGCTTAGGTCAGCGGTTCAGCACGGACTGAAGGGAACCGATACCGGTATCAGTATAGTGATGAAGTAGCTCTGAAAAAAAGTTGTAATAATTTCACTCTGAATTATTACCTTTCTCTGGTAACAAAGGAGATGTATCACCATATTTACTGTTACCATTCCTGGAGGAGAGGCCAAAACCTGTCAGACATTTGCCACTGACTGACTTTATTAACATTGCACAGTTGTAATTTGAGATAATCTTTGGTTGCGGGGTTAAATACTGAAATAGAGGATATTCTCTCAATGTTTTAAATAAAAACCTTCCATAGTTAAGTCAATTCTTTCAAAAAAAAAAAAAAACAAAACAAACCCTAAAAAGTTGCTCAGTCAATGTCACATCCGTTAGTTTTAAAATCATTGTATCTATCTGTTTGGTCTTCTCCTGAAAAATGTTAATTTGTTCTGAGAAGGGGCCTCCTAGAGTTGTGTTTGTGACAGGCTGCTTAATGGCTGGGCATGGGGTGGGAGGGCCGCCTAACCAGGTTCGCTCCGGGCCCAGTAACAGGGCTGCCCCCGTAACAAACTCCCCAGCGATTCCTGCCGGCCCCAGGGCGATGAGGAGGCACCAGCGGGGATGGGGGTGTGCAGCTGAGGGGCTCTCCGAAGCTGGCAGCCCCGTGACGGGGGTGCTGTGGGCTCGCTCTCATCCCCCGGTTCAGCCTGCGGTGTTTGCACGTGCCTTCGGCCTCGTGGTGCTGGAAGAGACCTTTAGCTGCCACAGCCTGGATCCTGAGCTGGTTCTGCTAAGGATGGCCACAGATCTCACCCTTCGCACACGGGTTTCGCTTTAGGAACCCCTGCTCTGGAATGAGCTTCTCTTCCTTCCAGACGTAGCTTAAGAAATCGCGCGTTGTACAGGGGAGCCAAAAGGCCCCACGGAGCGACGCTGCCCCGTGCCCGCGGTCCCCTGAGGTGGGAGCGAGCGGGGAGGAAAATGCAATCGGCTGTTCTGTGCCCAACTGTGACCGAAGATGTTTCGGGGGGAAAAAAGCACCTCCACTGTACAGACGGGGGGAGGTATTTCTTCCTGATGACTTCTCTGCTTATAGACAGTAAGAAATAATGGCAAGCTGGACTAATTGCATTATTGGATAGACATTTAGCCTTTTAAATCCAAAGCAGTAATGACCTGTCTGAAGACGTGCTGAGGTAAGAGGCCTTCTGGAAGGATGTTACTCCCTGTTAAAGATGGAATAAGAAAAACCGTGTAGCTTTGCTTAGGAAAAGCAATGTGTGGTGAGGTTGGGATAAAGCAGAATCTCGGAGCAGAGACGAGACCCGGGAACGCCAGCTCCAAACAGGGAGCGGGGCCAGGTGCCCTCCAGACACCGCTAGCCCCTTCTCTCAGGAGCTTTTCCAACTGTGAAACTGCAACGTTAATACTTCATTACCATCTGTTCCTTTCAGACGTGTCGAGGTGATTAATTTGTCGTCTTAAGCCCCTTGAAAATGAAAGCAGTCTGTTTGTGCTAAGTAATACTGTTAATTGGCAAGAGAGAAGGGGGCAGCATGTGGGTTTACGAGTTGGAAAGAAATAACTCTAATCAACTCCTACGGTACCAGTTAAATAACCTGGTGGGACTCGCTGCGTCAGTCACTTGTGTCTCTCCCTTTCAGGGGACTTTAGGACTCCAAGAGCGAAGCGAGTTTTGGTTTCTAAGTTTTATTTCTTTTCCCTCCATTCAGAACTATGGGTCTGAAATGAAGAACACAACGTGCCTCTTGAGCTTCTTTCCAAAGCCTCGTTATTTACACAGGTCACAAGATCCATCTGACCCTCCGCAAATAAGGAGAAGCTAATGCCCGTGAGCCTGCGCGTAGAGCCCTGGGCTGCCCGCGTCTGCAGGGACTGCGTGCCTGCTGAGGGAGGGAGCCGTGGTGCGTTCTGCTGATGTTACAGTCCGGGGCATCCCGCTGCCCTGCCCGTCTACAGGGGTAGCTCTAGAGAGCCACGTGGTTTATAAGGGGGAAGAGACGGGTAAGCTTTGTGGGTGACGTGTGGGTTAGTGAGAATTTTGTTCCTTTTCTCGCTCAAAAAGAAACTTGCGGCCAAAAATTCTGCCCGCTATAAAGACGGGCGTGCTCCTTTTTCATCTCTGCAAGCTGGAACGAGTGTATCCATTTTCTGCGGGGCAGCACCCCTGCCCCGGGCAAAACCAGTGCTGTGGAGTCGTTTCTTCCTCGGGGAGCTCCTCCACGAGACTAAGCACACGGTCGCTTGTGGCTTTTACTGCCGGTCTGCATCAGTGAAGGGAACGGTGCATATCCTTTGCCGTGGTCGCTTGGATGTCCGGCTTCCATCTTTCTCAGGCTGTAGAAGTGCTGGGTCTTGAGCTGACGGCCATCACATGTACAAGGGCCAATGTGTTCAGATAGCAGAGTACTAAGCTGTAGCTTGTAAGTCTTTAGAAGCATTAATCCTATCTAATACGTGACCTAAACAGATGTCATCTATCTTATTATCAGCCTTTCAGTATACTACGGGCTACGCCGCCCAGATGACATGTGAAGGAAGCTTAGAAAACAAAGCAGGGAAACGCAAGCAAGGAAATGACACTGCAGACCTCCATCCCATTCCAGCCACCTCCTGCTCGCCAACGGGCAGGAAAGACAACTCCAGCAGGAACGGTGTGGCAGGTGGCTCAGCGGCGTAACGAAGCAGAGGTTTTGTCCCCCCGTGGTGTTTAAGGTAGTGTAACGCAACGAATCTGGGTCAAGCGCTTTCGTGAACTCCTGCTGGCCGGGATTACATCTCCTAGCTCCACCTGGCGCACAGCCTGGCAGTACAGACCCACTCTTCCTCCCCTGCATTTTCTGGTCCCTGCTCACCTCCTGCAATTTTTACTGTAAAGCAGAGGGGGGGGGGGTCGCAGCTCCCTGCGCAGCGAACCTTGCCGAAAGACCCTTCCGTTTGTGCCTTCCAGTGCGCACCTGCTGACGGGCAGCTCTTCGCCGTGCACGAAGCACACGGAACCATCCAGGCTTGGGTGCCGTGATCTGACCTGCACGGTACCGCCCTGACAGCAACGGCAGGAGCTGGCTTTTCTGGTCCTTCCCCTGCCACAGAGACAACGCCCTCAGCAATGACACATGCATAACAAGTCAGTCCTTTCATCCCCTCTGATTGCTTTTTGCAGCGGTTGTAGATAATTTGCTTACCCTGCCTCTGGTGCTGGCCGTAGCGCAAGCTGCTTCACCCCGGATTGGGACTGAGCAGAAATTCCTGCGTGTAGGTAGGTTTAATGCTGTCTTGTGTTCTTATTGCCTGGAAAACCCTACAAATGCCATTGCCTCAGAGAATCCAATTTTAGGAAAGCCTGTTCGTTAATTTGAATTCATGGTGTGATGGGTTATGTTGTAATTTCTTCCTTGTTTTCACAGTGATCTGTGTTTGCTAAATGTTATGCTTTTTTCAGCATCTGCCTCACTCTAACAGCAGAATTAGGAGTTAATTTAGTGCCACGCTGCTGTAGCTGCTTTCTTAAAAAAGATCTTGGAAAAAGATGAGACAAGTGTTTCCGAGAAAGCAGCAGAGACCTGTTTTGATTGTGTGATGCCTGTTGTTCAACAGCCCCCCTCTCCGCTTAAATGAGAGCAATCCCTAGAGCCGTAACACAGCATAGCTGTCAGATAAAACAGCCCTTGTGCTTTAAGCCTGCACTGAAAGTCCTTTCCTGCTCCGATTTTGACTGGAATATGTGTGTGCATGTGTATATATATAGGGGGGGGGAAGTTCACAATGTTTAGTGACCAAAATCAGAGCGCTGTTTCACCACAGGCTGAATCTATGTTTGTGATAGAACAAGTTTGCTGAAGTAGGTTGAAGCTTTGTAAAAACGGGTTTATGTCAGTTAAAAATTGTTTGAAATTATACGCTGTTTACATGCCCCCCTCCCTCCTAGCGTGAGCCCTTCGGTGCTGTGCCTGAGCGCTGATGCCGAGACCTTGCCTGGGGCTGCAGAAAGCGGGGACAGGCATCTCCCCTGCTTTCACCACCCTGGAGGCCCTTCCCTCGTGCTCGAATAGAGGTGTTTGTGGTGGGGCCAGCGCCCCACCTGGGTCACCAGGTCTGCGCCTTCCCCACGCATTTTCTCCTCGTTAGGTTCTTATTTAAGTTTTTTGCTATTTCTCTCACAGAAAAGATGGAATATCTGGGTATTATATGCCTTTATACAAAATAAAGTACTTCTCGCTATTGGGGATATTAAATTTGGAGGCACCTACCCTGTGCCAGACACCAGCTCTTTCCCGTACCACTTTCCCACCTTTCTAGCATTGCAGAAGCCAACTGTCTTTTGCTAAAGATGATTGATAATAACCTCGCCTAGTTTAAGCTCATCTCCTCAACCCTGCCGTAACAAGCAGGAGGTAATGAACGATCTGGAGAAATACATTGTGCAGGATCAAGTGCTGTTTGTTTGTTTGTTTTCTAATTCAAATGCAAAGCGAGTCCCTGGGAATAAATAGTTTTTCAGAGATACTGTCTTGAAACCAACTCAAACTTGGTTTCATGCCCAGTTACTGAACACTGACCGCTCTCCCTTAGCCTGCATCTGAGCTATCCTCCAAGCAACCAAACGCAAAGCGGCTGCCCTGTCCCAAAAGCCACTCACTTGCAGGCTGAGAAGTGTGGGGGCTTTAACCCCTAAACTCAGCTCTTCAGGAAACCATAGGTCTCTGAAATTTTAGCAGTGAGCTCTACACTTGCATGGGAAACTTTTCCATTGATGTTCTGATTTCTTAAATTTACGGCATTTTTAACATCCCAAGTGTGCCAGGCAAGTATTCAAAATACGACTGTGTGGTGTATGCGGAACGTGACTAAGGATTTATGTTTAATATTTATCTCCTTCCTCAATATTGCAAGTTTTAGGAGCCACCGAGTCTAGGATCAATGAACCACTCTTGGAACGTGACTTTGCTTATTGAATGTATTGCAGACCGGCCAGCAAACTGTGGCAGAGGGTATTTTCGGCCAAACGCTGCAGGGAGAACTACATCAGGCACTGAAGCAAAGCCACGCTCCTGGCCTTGGCAAGTCTCGTTACAGGTACGCACGCACAGCCTTCGCCACCATTTTTCAGTGACACGTATATCGATGTCTTGGAAGAGGTTGCTGATGAAGTCAGTAACACACTGACAGAAGACAAATAATACTTGTGTGTTGGCACATTTTTGCGTAGCTGTTGGGTCGTCCCTGCTGGTGCTGAAGATGTGGTCAAGCCTATTGTAACCCACAAAATATACACAGACACTCCTCTCGTTTGTAAAGCACGTGTGAGTTGCAGTACCTATCCGTCATATCTGAACCGAGTGAGCTTGCCACTTGATAGGTGGGAAGACGTTTGCTTTCTGGCCATCAAAGAATCTCCCGTTTCTGCAAACGGCTATGTGTACATGAAGTGGTTGCTGTTTGAGATGCATCTACCAGCTGAAGCTTTAGGAGGGTTTCAGGAGGGAAAAATGAGTAACAAAAAAAGGCAGAAAAAAATGGGTGAGGATTAAAACGGCCATACCGTGGTCTTGTTTTCGAGAACGTGTGGGACCCTTAGGAAAACCTACTTGCCTAGGCATCTATCACACAAAAGATGCTGTGCTGACAAACAGCGGAATGTTTGGGTATGCGCTTACCAACGTGTCCGTGCGTAGGGTACGGCGTCCTAATACCTTCATTGCACATGTGATGAAGTAGTACGTTAATAAAGGCATTTCCCTCTACAGTTGCTAGTAACCCCCACTGCAGAAGAGAAAGCATTTCTGTTACCACAAGTTAAATCTGTTCCTTTTCTCTGTCCCGCTACTCAGGGGTGATGCTTCTTCGGTTAAAACTTCTGCTGTTATTTTCTGTATTGATGGGTTTGGACCACAACAAGTAAGAGATTCGTTCACCTCTGTGGCGGGACCCTTATTCACAAACACCGAGTTCTCACTGCAGCCCATTGCTTCCAGAAGTAAGCTCTGCCTTTGGTTAGACTTCCTGGAGAAGCTGCAGAAAACCTTTCTGGGAACCTCTTTAAATGAAAGATGCACGTGGAGTTAGGTGTATTCTGTGCTCCTGTTTCATGTGAAGTGGGATAGACTGTATGTGGGATAGAGGAACAGACAGTAATTAAAAAAAGGTTGCAGAGATGCGAAATCCTTAAACTAGAGGAAGAAAAAAGGCCAAGCGTGGGGTGCAGGAAAAGGTTATTAAAACATCTGTTTACAGCCTATATATGAAACCGTTTGTGTGGGAGTTCAAAAATACTTAGTTTATCTCTGGCATCGGGGTAGCTTGACACAAAAAGCAAAGATTCAAGGCGGGTACATACAGCGCAGAGAGCTTTGAAAATCCCCTGCGGGGAAGTAAAGCCTTGGACTTGAGCACAACTGACTGCTGCCCCGCTCGGCTCCTTGGGCGGGTTGGTGGCTGCGAGGTCGGCCTCCGGCCACGGGCAGGACGAGCTCTGGGGGAAGGCTGGGGATGGGTCTGGCGCGCAGCTGTGGGACCGAGTGCCAGGTCACGGCCTGCCTGGAAGGGGACCAAGGACAGACGTCAGAGAGGATATGCGGGAGGGAGGGCCGCGCACCCGGGCTGGCAGGGACAAAGAGAAAACAGCCCGCTTCCAGCGGCAGAGCTTGCAGCAACTGGCGATTCCCCCGGGAGCTGCATGAATTTTCCCTGACGCCTACGACGACGACTCTTCTGTAATTTCATACTGCGCTTTGGGACCGTTGCTGTCTCTGAGAGGAGCTGCTGTCAGTTTGTTAGTCTGCCTTGGCATCTGGCTTCACCTCCAGCTGCGCCGTGCGCGCTGCGCCGCTGTCAGTGTGCCGCACTTCTTTTATTTCCTTTTTAAAAGGCAGCGATGTGCTGCTTAACTGTGTGGTAGAGTTGCAGAACGGGGAAATTGCATTATGGGACGTTAAACATAGAAGTTAACACAACTGATTCTCTTCAGCTAAATTGTTGCAGTTATTGAAAGAGGAATGGTCTAAACAGGAACCAGAAACATTCTTTAAGAACATGTGCATAAACCCCCTAAAATTTGCTATAAAATCATTGCAGCAGAGAACGTTCCTCAAGTTCTTTGTGTTTCGGGTGGCACTGAGTAGTACAGTTTGGCAGGCCGATACCCCAGAGCTGCAGGAAAAGCTTACGCTTCCGTATCGAGGCTCCTGCTTCGAGGGGGTGTGGAGGGATGAATCCCACCCTGCCCTTTATTCTCACACTGCAGCCGAGCAAGGAAGAAGTCTTTGAGTGTACAAAGAGGGTCATTAAGCACTTTTGCCGAATCAAGGCAAAGCCAAGTGGTGGCTTGTCAGGAAGGACGGCCTTCATGGGGCAGGACCACACGCGATTCCCATTCGGCAAGAAGTAGTACTGAATTTTGGGTACAGGAGCACATTATGCAGTGTCATGCGCCTCCCAAGGGAAAAGCCACATGCATTAATCCTCATTAACTATCTTTGATGTGTATATAGATCCCTTTTACGCATCCAAAATGCTTCCCTTCATACTTGGTTGGAGGCTTACAGTCAGTGCCGACACACAGTTTTACCCGGCACTGAGGAACACCACAGTACGTAAGCCTCCATCTTTGCTACTGTTTGAACACGAGGAGATCATCCTGCTTATTTTCCCATAAAATCGCAGCTCTACCCAACCTTTTGCCCCTATTTTAGCAGACCACCACTGTGTCCTTCGCTTAGGTTAATGCCGTTTTAAATTTCATTTTTTGATCCGCTATGTAGGTTTGGGTTAAAAGGCACAGCTGGTGTGGCTAAGGGTACGGCAGAGGGAGGAGCGGCGTGTACTGCCATCAGTCGTGGGAGGACAGAGCCCATTAAAAATACGCACGTGGGTCCTTACTCTGAAATTCTTTTAGGGGCGAGATGGAAGTTGCGTCCGACTGGTGAATCCTCCTAGGAAAGCATAACCTTAGCCACAACGAATCCACGCAGAGAGCGTACCGCGTGGAGCAAATCCACCCGCACGGGTGGCTCCACGAAAACCACTCTCTCCGCGTGGAGCAAATCCACCCGCACGGGTGGCTCCACGAAAACCACTCAAACCGGCTGGATTACGATATTGCCTTGGTCAAGCCTATGGAAGACGTAACAGCAAACCGCTTTGTCCGCTATGCCTGCCTGCCCAAGAGAGGCTGCTCTCTTTACCCGGGACAGTCCTGCTGGGTAACTCGATGGGGGGACACAACAGGTATACGAGCGCTGCTGGTTTTCAAAGGTCAGACGGGGTCGGCATTATTTTCTCTTAAGTCCAAATACACAGAGAAGGATTATACAGCACAGCCTCCGCCTCCTACACGTTTAGATGAAGAAGCCAAATACCTGAAATGCAAGTTCCTAGGGTAAGAGCACATCTGGGATTAGGTGGCTGACTTCTTTCTCTGATGTCAGCGTTGAATTATTTGTACTCTGCCTGCAGCCATGAGCCCTGCCCACGGGTAGGATCCTGTTCAAAAGAACAGCTCTTTGGTCCATGCCCTGTGTGTAGGAAACAGTGACTCAGCTGCCACATCTGTGCAGAGCTGCACAGCTACTTAGCTTTCCATTTGAAGTCCTCTCTCTCTGTTAATGTATGTTTTAAGTACTGTGCAAACACCTACGGAAGGCAGCGCTTCACAGACAGGGATTCTTGGAGGTGCTGGCTGGGTGGTCCTGGAAAGGCTGAGGTCTCCTTGCCTTGAACGCCCAGAAGCATGGGCAGCAGCGGCGCAACCCGCTCTTGCTCCCCTCCAGAACAGTAAGTGGATCCTTTTCCCAGCTGAAAACTGCGATGGCAGGGATTAGGAAACGTTCTGCTCCGCTTCACGCCTGGGGAAAAGACAAAAACGAAGGTACTGTGTGAAGCCGAGCCAAGCAATGCACACCGGGGGGGATGC